GCATGGAGTTTCATGATATTACATAAGCATTTGTAGATGGCTTGACATATGTAGACAAAGTAACAAGACATAAATTTTATGACTACATTTTGATGAACAGTAAAAACTCCATGCCAGAATTCTTTTTTTACTCGCAAATTCAAGAAGTACATTTCATAAGACTTTTTGAAAGTTACTTAGCCACCCTGTTCAGACTTGAGTATCAGGTCTTGTTTTACCAGCTTAGAGTAACTATCACTGACTTGCTGACAGCAGGAGGGGTGCTAAAGGGGCAATGATTACACAGAACATGCTGTTCAGGAGTAAGGACAGGTGGACAAAATCATCCCAGCACAATAAGCCCAGCAGGTTAGGAGCTTTCAGGATCTCCAGATGCTACATCCAACTGTTGGCAAAGCAGTGCCAAGGCCTCCCAACCACTGTCTCATGATACAGTCTGCCACTCTATCCTCTAGGCAGGCACCGGTCCACACACCTGCTGACCCTGCCATTTTGCCAGGCAAGCCAGAGAGCAGCCTCACATATGGCAGCTACAGGGACGTAATGCAGAGGCTCCTCCCTGTGTGCTCGGCCCACTGGCCCTGGCAGTAGAAGCAGGCACTGCAGCTGGGAAGCAGGAAAGAGCTCTTTCCTCCCAGCAGGTGCTGGCATCTTGAGCCTGTGACCCCTGCCATCACTCCAGGTGCTGAGAAGCTCCAGAGAGTAGAGCTTATGGGCACTAGAGGGTGCCACCTACACAAAGTTACTATTCCATAGTAATCATTACAATTACGAAACAGCAAAAGAATTTTCTACAAACCAGAATCCCTACAAACCAGAAACACCAGAAAGAGTGCTAAGCGAAACTGAAATCACCACTCTTCTTGATAAAGATTTCAAAGTAAAAATCATAAACATGTTCATGGAGGTACAGAAAAATATTCAAGAACTCAGGGAGGATTTCAAGAAAAGAAACTTTGAAAAATACAGTTATCTGAAATGAAACATACAATGGCAGGATTTAAAAGCAGATTAGATGAAGTAGAGGAGAAGGTAAATGATACAGAAATTAGAGAACAGGAAAACGAAGAAGTTGAGGCACAGAGAGAGAAAAGAGGATTTCTAGGAATGAAAGAATAGTAGAGGGACTATGCAGCCAATCCAACAGAACAATATTCACATTATAGGGGTACAAGAGGAAGAAGAGAGAGAAAAAGGGATAGAAAGTCTCTTTGAAAATGATTGCTGAAAATTTCCCAATCTGAGGAAAGAATAGTCTCTCAGGTCATGGAACTGCAGAGATATCCCAACACAAGGGACCCTAGGAAGACAACACCAAGACATATAATAATTCAAACAGCAAAGATCAAGGACAAGGAGAGTGTATTAAAAGTAGCCAGAGAAAGAGAAGATCACGTACAAAGGAAAGTCCATCAAGCTATCATCACACTTCTCAGCAGAAACCTTACAGGCCAGAAGGGAGTGTCATGATGTATTTAATGCAATTAAACAGAATACTGTACCTGGCAAGATTATTATTTAAATTTGAAGCAGGGATTAAACAATGTCCTGAGAAGCAAAAGTTGAGGGAATTTTACTCCCACAATCAATCTCAATAGTGTGTTTTAAAGGGACTGCTCTACATGAAAGTGCTGCTAAGGCTAAATAGATGTCACCAGAGAAAATAAAACCACAGAAAAGGAAGTAGAACAATTAATTACTATACAAATGCAAATTTAAATCAACTAACCACAAAGTCAGTCAAGGGATACACAGAGAGTACAGAATATGACACCTAAAATATAAAGAGTGGAGGAGGAAGAAAAAGAAGAGAGGGGGGGAAAAAAAGTACCTTGAGGTTGTATTTGAAATAGTATAATAAGTGAGTTAAGTTAGACTGTTAGATAGTAAAGCTTCCCTTGGCCCTTTGGTAACTGTGAATCTAAAGCCTGCAATTGCAATAAGTACATATCTATTGATAATCACCCTCAATGTAAATGGACCAAATACACCAATCAAAAGACACATAGTTACAGAATGGATAAAAAAACAAGGCCCATCTATATGCTGCCTACAAGAGACTCACTTTAAACCCAAAGTCTGTGTATGCACAGACTAAAAGTGAACAGATGGAAAAAGGTATTTCATGCAAATAATAGGGAGAAAAAAGCAGGAATTGCAGTACTTGTATCAGACAAAATAGACTTCAAAACAAACAAAGTCACAAGAGACAAAGAATGACATTACATAACGATAAAGCGGTCAGTACAACAAGAGAATATAACTATTATAAATATCTATGCACCGAACATAGGAGCACCTAAATATGTGAAACAAATACTAGCAGAATTAAAGGGGGATATAGAATGCAATGCATTCATTTTAGGAGACTTCAACACACCATTCATTCCAAAGGACAGATCAACCAGACAGAAAATAAGTAAGGAGACAAAGGCACTGAACAACACATTAGAACAAATGGACCTAACAGACATCTACAGAATACTCCACTGAAAAGCAGCAGGATACACATTCTTCTCAAGTGCATATGGAACATTTTCCAGAGTAGATCATATACTAGGTCACAAGAAGAGCCTAACTAAATTCAGAAGGATTGAAATTGTAGTAATCAGCTTCTTTGGCCACAAAGGTATGAGACTAGAAACAAATTATGCAAAGAAAACAAAAAAGCCCACAAATACATGGAGGCTTAACAACATGCTCCTAAATAATCAATGGATCAATGACCAAATAAAAACAGAGATCAAGCAATATATGGAGACAAATGAAAACAATTCAACACCCCAAAAGCAATCAAGACAAGTTGGTACTGGCACAAGAACAGACCCATAGATCAATGGAACAGAACAGAGACCTCAGATATAACCCCACACATATATGGCCAATTAATATATGATAAAGGAGCCATGGATATACAATGGGGAAATGACAGCCTCTTCAACAATTGGTGTTGGCAAAACTGTACAGCTACATGCAAGAGAATGAAACTGGATTATTGTCTAACGCCATACACAGAAGTTAATTCAAAATATATCAAAGACCTGAATGCAAGTCATGAAACCATATTAGAAGAAAACACAGGCCAAAATCTCTTGACTATAAAGTGAACGACTTTTTTTCTGAACACATCTCCTCGGGCAAGGGAAACAAAAACAAAATGAAAAATGGGATTACATCAAACTAAAAAGCTTCTGTACAGCAAAGGACACCATCAGCAGAAAAGAAAGGCAATCTACAGTATGGGAGAATATATTCATAAATGACATATCCAAAAAGGGTTTAATATCCAAAATATATAAAGAGTTCACATGCCTCAACACACTAAAGCAAATAACCTGATTAAAAAATGGGCAGAGGATCTGAATAGACACTTACCCAAAGAAATTCAGATGGCCAACAGGCACGTGAAAAGATGCTTCACATTGCTAATTATCAGGGAAATGCAAATTAAAAACACAATGAGATATCACCTCACACCAGTTAGGATGGTCAACATCCAAAAGATGAGGAACAACAAATGCTGGCAAGGATGAGGAAAAAGGGGAACCCTTCTACACTATTGGTGGGAATGTAAATTTGTTTAACCACTGTGTAAAGCAATATGGAGGTTCCTCAAAAAACTAAAAATAGAAATACCATTTGACCCAGGAATTCCACTCCTAGGAATTTACCCAGAGAAAACAAGATCCCAAATTCAAAAAGACATATGCACCCCTATTTTTATCACAGAACTATTCCCAATAGCCAAGATCTGGAAGCAATCCATGTCTCCATCAGTAGATGAATGGATAAAGAAGATGTGGTACATATACACAATGGAGTATTATTCAGCCATAAGAAGAAAACAAATCCTACCATTTGCAACAACATGGATGGAGCTGGAGGATTTTATGCTCAGCGAAATAAGCCAGGTGGAGAAAGACAAGTACCAAATGATTTCCCTCATTTGTGGAGTGTAACAACAATGCAAAACTGAAGGAACAAAACGGCATCATATTCACAGACTCCCAGAAGGGAATAGCGGTTACCAAAGGGTAGGGGTTGGGGAGGGAGGGAGAAGGGGATTAAGAGGCATTATGATTAGCACACATAATGTAGGGTGGTCACGGGTGTCTTACCAATGGGTTTCAGCCCTGGGCAAGTTCACTATGGATTCAATGAGACCAAAGAAATGACACTGGAACGTTCTTGGGGTGAAAGGGTTTATACCAGGCTTTATTCCCACAGTGCCAGGTCAGTCACTAGAATCCTATCCACTCAGAATGAGTCTGCATGCAGCAAGCCAGTCTCTGCCTCTGGGGTTCTCTGCCCCTGCAGCCATCTTAGTCTCTGTCTTTGGTGCTACCACCACTCCAGTCTCTTTGCTCTCATGCAGCCTTGCAGATATGCAACGGCTCTGAGCACTGGGTGGAGCTCTTTATATAGAATCAATAACAATGTATTGCCCACACGTGTGTAGTGACATAACCAAGCAGGGCCAGGTGAGAATTCTGGCCATAGGAACCTTCACTTTCTCCACTACAGGCAAGGCAGAGAAGTCAAGTAGTGACTCCATAGCATCTTACTATGCTGATAGACAGTGACTACAATGGTGTACGTGTGTGGGGGGGGACTTGATAATATGGGTGAATGTTGTAAAAATCCTCTTAAGATTGTATATCAATGATACCTTAATTAAAAATATACATATACACATAATAAAAAATAAAATTTAGAATCTTAGAACATCAATGTTATTCATCTTTGCTTCTCCCTCCCGTTCTTCTTTCTTTCCTTTCTCCCTTCCTTCCCTTTTTTGGGCATTTTTTCCTAAATAAAATATTCTCCAAGTTATTCCCCCACAAGGCTCTGCTCAATGCTATAAATAAAGTAGATACAACAACAACGGTGATAAGGAAATACAAATTCAGTATCTGTCTTGCCTCGGGGGGATTGGCCCTGGGCAATTTCACTCTGGGTTAGCAACAACAGAACTAAAAGGTGAAAGGGTTTATACCAACCTTTATTCCCACTGTGGCAGGTCAGTGTTGGAATCACGTCTGCCTCTGGCAAGTTCACCATCCATCTCAGTGTCTGCCTCTGGGCAGAGCACTGGGAGGAGCTCTTTATATACTAACACTAACAATAATGACTCATTGCCAACACGTGTGGAAACAGCAGCCTAGCAGCAGGCCAATTACATCAAGTAGTTTAGTGTCAGGGGAGGATCCTGGCCATAAGAACTTTCATTTTCCCTGTTACATCTTAAGGGGAGACTCCAGCCATCTAGAAATTTCTTTTCAGCAATTGGGAATTCTTTTTCACCAGAGGCTCATGATTCTCAAGATAATAATGGTGGAGAAAGATTATGTAAAAATAACCTGATGGGAATTTAAAAAAATATACTTGCTGTATTTTTGTACTTTGAAATTAAACTAGCTAGTGAATGTTAATGTCTGGTTAAAAGAGCAGTAACCATGGATCAGCCCTATTCCAGAAAAAAAGCAGAAGCAAATGTTTTAAATGTTATGTAAAACAACTGAGAAAGCAACTGATGTTAAAAAAAAAAGCAAAAAAAAATGAATACTGTCAGAGCTTATCTATTAGCCCTTGGCACTCTTCTATTTTAATTATGTAGAATAATTTTGGTTTCCTAACTGAAACCTGAATGATAAAGAAATTATTAGAAAATTGAATTAATTAATTAACAGGCATGTAAAAGTATATAAGCCAGACTAGGTGGCAAAGGACTTTTCAGAAGGATGGAAGAACATGAAAAAGCACAGAAATATGAAACTGCCTAGCATTTTTGGGTATCTATGTAGCTATATGACTATAACTTGCATCTATAGGGAAAGCAATGTAATACTGACAAAAAGTTTACTCTCAGAGGATTAAGGGGAATGAAGTGATCAAATCCATTTTTTAAAGAGGTGTATTTATTGAAATAATTTTCTAAATTAGCTTAAGGAATATTCTCTTTTAACAATCAATTTATGAATAATATAATCTCTAAAATATTCTTCATTGAAATGAACATATTCAACTAATCCATGAATGAGTTCATAAATATATTACTAATAATTATAAATGCATTTATCATTAATATGTTCTTATACAAGAGTATACAGTTATATATGGTACCAAATATCAGGAATATATTTAATATAGTCAACAGAATCAATATGCTCTAGAAATGTACTGCCCAACTAGTCACTAGCCACATATTGCTGTGAAGCACTTGAAATATGGCTAGTCTGAATTGAGATATGCTGTTAGAGTAAAATATACACAGGATTTAGAAGACTTAGTATGAAGAAAATAATACAGAACATCTATTTTGTAACTTTTATATTGACTACATGTTGAAATAACATTTTGGATATACTGGGTTAAATAATCTTTATTTTTAAAATTAATTTTACCTTTCCATTTTCCTTCTTTTTAATGTGACTACCAGGAACTTTAAAATAATGTATCTTGCTCCAATTTGTGGCTCACATTATATTTCTATTGAAGAGTGCCACTCTAGAACATATATTTCATGAATATAATAATAAAAATTATATTTTTAATCAACTATAGTATGTCTTAGAGCTTTAGACTAACCATTCCTTAAACTGATGAAAATAAAAACACGTACACTGAATATATCCAAGAATAATATTCATGGGAATAATATAATGATAATAATTTATTGATTCTATTCAAGAGAATATTTGTTTTCATTATTTAATTTTTTCCCATAGCCCCTTTCAGTACCTGAACATATATATAATATACACATAAATTATATACATATAATCCCAGTGATTTAAAAGTGTATCTAGCACAGAGGAGGCATTTGTTGATATTTGGTGATTATGACTTTATTTTTTCTTTAAATGATGGCCCTGAGCTCTTGTGAGAATTTACATAAAGCATTTATCCAACACCAGTCTCAAGGTAAGATTTTTGTATAATTTGATAAACTTGGTTAATTTATTATTTGACAAATTAAATTTTTAAGTGGATTGGCTTTTGGAAAATTAGCTTTTGGTGGAATATATTTGTTGTACTTGTTAATAACCATTTGGAAAAGTAAAGGCTGCAAGTCTTTATCAGTAGCCCACGTATAAACTTCTAAGTGCCTGAAGTAAGGAAGGAGAGAGAAATGTATTGGAAGGTTATTTCAGAGGAGGATTGCATAGATTTGGGTGACTGAATATGAAATCCTAGCAGGTTTGTCCATATTACCATTTTAGGGGAATACAGGAAAAGAGAATATCTTTGGTTCGGTGAATGCTGAGATGACACTATCTTCAAGATATCCATGTGGATGTTTAGTGGACAGTTACAGGGACAAATGTGGAGCTGGGAAGAGAGTGTGGAATGGAGCTACAGACATGTGGTTGAGAAACGCTGATAAAATTATCAGCCTAGCAGTTAAAGTCAAGCAGTGACACTTCTCATGTGTAACTTTCTTTTCAAGTGCAATAGTATGTTATATGAATATTTTAATTAAAAGAAGAAAGTACCGCACTTACCCTTTTTCACAATAGAAAGCCCAAAACAGTTACCTATTTTTAAAGTTAGCCTATAAAATTATGAAATATTTTTTGAATCACAGAGACTCTACTGAGAAAAATGGACTAAGTTATGACTAATGGCATCTGAGCACTTTTACAGTCTAAATAACTGAGAAGTAATCAAGCAAAGAATTGCTTTGATTGAATTTAAGAAACTAGCAGCTACCTAGATGAAATAATCCCAGGGCTTTCATTTCATTCATGTGTAATCCATAAAATAATTTACAGCTGCCTGAACTAGACAATGTGGATATTAGTGAATTTTCACATCTGTTTCTAGGAACTTTATAACAAAAATTAAAAGCTTTTCAAACATAAGTCCCTTCACAGGGACTCAGTGATGGGCTGCACAAAAATTATATGGCAGTTTTTCCCTGCATTGCAATTACTTTGTTGATTTATGTTCATAGAACTGATTTGGTCAAATATTTTAAGCAGATGTTACATATTCTAAGTGAATTATTAAAAATAAAACAAGTGTTAAGAAAGCATATATGAAATTAGAGAAGTTTAAGTAAAATATTTATGAAAACTTTTTGGTTCTGTGATACAGCTTTAAAAGGGGGAAAGAATGGAGAGCAAAATATAATTCACTTTGTTGGGACAAATTCTGCTTGAAAGATGAAAGAAGGATATTAAGGCTATGCTTGTATTGCCTCTGTATTTCTACAATCATGCTTTAAGTATGAGTTCAGTATTCTTTCTCAGTACATCAGAGTAGTACAACTTCACCAAATTCATGAAGCCTAAGAAAAAAGTGGTAGATAGCAGATATTATAGGCTGTAATTTTTTAGAATAACTTTAGTCTTAACATTTTAAGTTAGAATTGCATTTGAAAAAAAAAGTCTTATAGAATTTAAGTTCTGTGTCTAAATTTTTCTTTTTAATAACATAAGAGAAAGTAGATTACAGAGCATTTCCTTGACCACATGAGATTAATAAACAAAGAAAGTGATTAGACCAGTTAGGAAAAATACTTATGGGACCTTAAATTTACATATATTCTTTGTCTTCTAATGTTAACTCAAAGGAACAAAAAACTTCCTGTAATATTTTGTTAGCTACTTAGTTCCTATTTAATTTCTTTGTCAATAGCCAATCACATGACGATCACAGACACTTGTAAAAATTTATAGGCTGAAATTTGTTTGCTTAGATTGCAAATGAATCACAAGACTTGTGCTAATTGAACCCATCATTATATAAATTGTGAAGTTTTTTCTGTTAGAAAAATTAAGACATCTGGGAATGGTTTTCTTTTTTCAGTCTGCAAGAAAATACTAGTGCTTCTAGCAAATTCAAATCCAAACACTACCCAAAGTCTGGTTTCTTCATCAGAGTGCATCTTTATTTTTAATTTTGACCCACCACAAATTCAACAGATTATACTGTATAAACAAACCAAAAAAATTGACTTTTTCCTGAAACTTATTGTCAACCTCTGAAAAGTTTCATAAAAGTATCTGATATTCCATGCATGTGGACTCATGTCAGGTAGCTACATAAGCATGCTGGCCTGGTATATCTGAAAGCTCAGTAATAGCCCTAATTGAAGTGATGATGCATTGTGAACAACAAAGAAGAGCATATCAAGAACCAGATCTGAGGGAGAGTGGGGGCAGCGGGGCACAGACAAGAGTTCAGCATAGAGCTTAGAAGTATAGGTGTTGAGGAATACAACTGGAAAACAGGAAGTGAGGCAAACCAAGCAAAATGTTCAGTGTGTAGACATGAGTGAGGCAAGGGTGGTAGGGAAAAATTGGTTAATCTAGAAGACTGGGATTAGGCAAATTATTAATTTTCATAGGCTGATGAGTAAAAGTATATAATTTTTTAAAATCAGAAAACCACTGTAAAATCTTGAAAAAGCTTATCATTTTATCTACTGTTTAAAAGTGTATTTATTCCATTTAAATTCCCCTGGGATATGCCTCTGGCTAAAGCACTCATGTAGTTAATCTCTCTCAATAGTGAGAAAACATTTCTCATCCAAGTAGTTTAGTTTTGGAATACTTGCTGGTTCTACTGTACCATTATGTTGCAGCAATTATTGCAGCCGCTACAGGTAATATACATTTATTCTTTTTGTGTCATAACTAATTGTTAGCTCTATTTAATATAATTTTCATGTTCTGTCAGGCTCTGTGTTAAATAAATAAGGTCCTATGTTGAAAAGTCCTGATGTGGGCACTGTATTAATTTGATTGTTAATGACCTTTGACTCTGGTCCATATTTGATGATACTTTGCTTCTTGACCCAGATCCCAAGTATTTAACTGAACTCATTTTTATGAATATTTCTGAATTGATTACATAATTGCCAACTCAAAATAGGCCCTTTGGAGAGAGTATGATACTTATATGCTAATTGCTACAACCCCAAAGCTAGTTTTCAGTATCTATGCTCTAAACTTACCTTTAGTAAAGTTGATTTTGCCTCAAGTCACTTTACTTTATCTACATGGCACAAATACACAAAACTAAACTGATGTCATATTAGTGATTAAACTCAGGATTTATTG